AAAAAGTTATATTAGACCACACACATCCAGTGCTGTATCATGTCGCTGCTTCTTAAGCAGAACTCTCTAATTTATTTCAAAGGGAAGTTCTGCTTCAAAATTGAGGGTGTGATATGAACTCAGAAATTAACACAAGAATTTTCCTTGGGGGGAACCAAGACTGAATCAGACATGCAATAAATGACCTCGTAAGCTCTGTGCCTTGGTACATCCACGTATCCAAAACTGTGCTTTAACATAAAATATTATTTCCACCATTATCTTGTTTCAAGCTAGGTAGAAGAGCTGAAAGAAGTGTATTTGCTTTGGTCAGGAACAAATTACTCATCTGTCTGAATGCCAGGAGGTCCATCAACACCCATCGCACTCCCAGCGCTTTCTGCTGGGAACGTAACGATTCGTGGGGACAGGGAACCATCCCGGCAAGGTCTCGCACTGCAAGCCCTGCTGCCAGGGAACCTGGCTGGGATGCTGCTCTCCCACAGCAGCAGGCACTGCTGGGAACACACAGAGCTACTGTTGGCTTCCAGCTGCCCTCCTTCCTCCCTCCACACACCATCTCTGGAGAGAGATGCAGCAGTCCTCTCACAGCAGCAAATCCCCATCACACGGTGACGTGAGTTTTCCCACTGGTTTCAACAAGATCAGAACTCAACACAGGAAAAAGCAATATTAAACTATTGCCCTGACAGTGCAAGTCAGGACAGAAAGGCAGAGAAACAGCTGAGCTGCAGATTTCCAGCTGCTGTGGGGGCCACAGTCTCCTCCAGCAGAGGGATGGAGCAGCCTTGGGGAAGGGGATGCAGCAGAAGCAGCCACGTCCTGGGGCTCAGCTACTGCTGCTTCAGCTTCTGTCCAGCCAAGAGCAGCCCTACACTGCAGCTCCATACTTTCTGACTTTGTGTTAGACATTTGGGCCCCGTGGCCCCAGGCCAGCAGTAACTGCACTTTCATCTTGCCCTGCCCAAGGGGACATTTCATACCCTCTGAACAAGCTCAAAGAGTCCAGCGGACCTCGGGAACCAGGCTCTGAAAAGCAACATTATTTTTGAGTCCTGCTGTCTTATTTGGGGACTTCAGCTGTGCAGGACTGTGGAGTACCCCCACTCTTCTAATCTCATGTAAGCTACGGTTTGACAACTTAGTAATTAAGGAAATGAAGTAGTATCTATTTTCCAAAGAAAAAGAGGCTCTTGCACTTCTTTTTCTCCCACAGACAGAAAGTCCAGTGCCTAAGCTGTACATATAAAACATTTTAATCCTGCCTTTACGCTACTCACACACTCACCAAATGCATCTGAAGTACATAGGAGGTGTGAGGAGCTCCCCTCAGATCTCTCCCATCAATGGGAGCAGGGAGACCTCATGCCCTATATACAGGGCAGCATGGCTCATTCCCCTATTTTATAAACCTATTTACAAAAAGAACTTAAAGGAACTTATAAGAGCTCCTTTTACCATTTAACTACCACATAGTACAAGATATAACAATGTTCAGAAAACCCCCTCAGGTCTAAACTCAATTATACAACTGTAGCAAGAAAAATATTTTAATCTGATCAAAGTGTTAACATGTTTGACCATGTCTGACCTCTAATGTTTGTAACCACCTAAAAGGCTGCTGTTCTTACTAAGGATGTACCTTAATTTGATTTAAAGTCATTTGTACTATTTAAAAAAGGATATAGTTTTATGATTTTATATTTAATTTAGAAAAACAGTTCCTCAACTTGTTCATATTCTTTGGAAGTTTCTTGCAGATTTTTAACCCATAAGTTCTATGTATTTCATTCTGGGAAAAGCTGGACTTTGAATAAGATGGGATAAACCGGAGCCTTGAAGCACCACACACACAACAATTGAGAGCCAGGTGAGAAAAGGCTCTCCTGGGGCCTTGCAGAGTGTCAGGATTTCAGATGCACACACAGGCTATGCCAAGATGCTCTTTAACCCTTGACTGTGTGCCCTCCCCAGCCTGGCAGCTGATGGGCTCACAGCTCCCAGAACAAGGGACCTGGGCTCAGCCCTCTGCCTTGTCCTCAGCTCCAGAGGCACCCTCACCCTGCCCATGCCCCCAGCAACAGCTCCACTGCCACTGCAGGAAACCTGTGCCTGCCCATACCAGCAGCACTCCAGCTGAATCATCCCACACTGGCATTTGCCACCTTCAGCCAAGGAGAGCCACCCACGCTCCTGCCACCCCCTCTGCTACTGGCTGTCCAGGGAGCATCAGCCAGACTCGCTGTGGCTGCTGATGAACCCAGCCATCTTCAGAGCATCCCTCTGAAGCAGCAGAAGAGCATGTAAAATAACATGTGTTTTGGTAAAAAGAGGCAATTTTGGCTGGGAGATGTGGGGACTGAGCAGGATGCTCGGATTAGCAGCATAACAGGTAGTGTTACAAACACCTTGAGAGAAACAATGCAAAAGTGGTGCTGCTGACAAAATCAGAAAGAAAATAGGAAAACAGCACCCTGGTGCTGCTGGTAGCAACATACCCAGCCTGGCAGGTGCTGGAGCCAGTCCAGAGCCACTTGCAGCTCCCTCACAGAGTTCATGGGGAGCCCACCAAAAAACAAAAAAGTGGTTTTACCGAGCATTGCAAGGCAGGCGTTCAACCCCAGCCTTGGTGCCAGCTGCTCAGTGTCTTTCAGGGAGTTACACTCTATTTTCAATCAGGTAAATTACTGTTTTCAATGTAAAGCCCTGACAGTTTGCCAAAATACTCCCGGTTTAATTTTTTAATTGATTTTTTTTTTTAAGATTCTAAAATTAATCCTACTTGTAAACAACTGTTTCCAGGAAGCCTCATTAACCAAAATACAATCTCCACTATCAAGTGCATGCATGATTGTGATATGTAATCCTATTCACTCAGGCAACCCTCCTCCCCGACTCTTCTCATGCTAAAGTGTTAATTAAAAACACTTTTATGGATGGTTAAGTATCTGCAATCTTTGGTCACAGATCTGACCTCCTCAATTATTGGAAGCAGACACCAGATTACAGCACACACTTTATATAATGTACACAGCAGCAATAAATCTATATGAGAGCAATCCATAATTTACCATGATAACCTCAGCACAGTCAATAGAAATACAAGACAAAATTGCCCAGAATAATATACTGAAATAGTTATTGTAATAAATTTAAAACCTGCAAGACCAGCCTTCATCTGAGGAAGAAATCTTCGCTGTCTGCTAGGTAACAGATTTTTACCTGAAAACATCAAATCAGCTCTTCATAAACCATGGCAGGATCCAGACAGGCCTAAAGGAAGCTGTTTGAGGCACTGGGTGATTTTGCTGGAGATGGGATCATTCCTTCTATTCTACTTATGTCCTCTCCCCTTCAAGTTCTGCAGTCTATTTACTCCTGTCTGCTGCTCTGACAACAACTGCTTGGATTTTATTCTGTTATGAAGGGAAAAGGTGATTCCTTAACCTACAATCTACTTTATAGCCTAGCTGCTAATAAATAGACTACTGCACTTTGCTGCCCATGTAGGAAGAGTTTAAGATTAAAAGAATATTCCACCAAAGCAAAAAAGATGCTGGACTAATATAACTGTGGATTTACCCAGATTCTATCTGAGGTAGCAAATTAAGCGTGTTTACATGAGACAAATTTAAAAGCATTTAAAGTTTATCAGGAAGAGAACAGCGCAATATTTTGAGGAATAAGAGGGATATCTGGTATCTGGATAAGGTGGGAAGCACCAGAAAAAATGCTTATTTGGGTTACAACTATGTAAGTTGGCCTTGCCCTGCAAACACATATTTTCTTGCTGTAAACTGAAGGAAGACTTAAAAATTTAGGGATAAATCCTCAATATCTGCAAACTTCAGCAAAGTTCCAGCAATATTCAGCCAGGAAAACTGAATCCCCTAGGAAAAACTGTGTGGGGTACAAGCAGGCTCTTGCAGGGACCTGTCTCCTGCTACCCAGGCCATCTGGGTCAGGTGTGAGGGTACAGCACTGACTTCCACAAATAGAATTATTTGTGTTCATACTTGTTTGTATAATTGTTGAGTTTCATACTCCACAATCCATCCATTTTTCATAAAACCAGTTTACATCCTACCCCTCCTGTGAACAAATGACCAGAATTAAGGAGAGGTTTATATATTCTTTTAAACTTTATCCCTTTTAAAGGTTAAAACCTGAACCTGAAACAAAGCAAATTACATTCTGTCCTCACCTGCTGATGGCTAATACAGAACAATGTCTGCCACAGATGCAGCAGTGCCTGCTCCCAGGAGCGACACCAGCATTGACTGTCTGCTGCAATGTCAGAACATTATTTTCTCAAGTTCTGATCAAGATGGTGATGGGAAAAGGCAGCTTTTATAAAGAAAACTTTAGTTAATCATTCAAATAGCAAAACCTAGAAACATGAGAACATACAGAATTACTAAAGCTGATTTAAACTGAGAGGGAAAAACTTTACAGGAAGAAGACGGGAATAGTCCTCCAGCACGAAGCCTCTTCCTAAAAAACACTATTGCCATTTTAGAAACACAAGATCCATTTCCTGGGCCATCATCCACAACAGAGCCCTAACACACAGCATGCCAGAACTTGGCTGTTTTACAGGCAGGTTCAAGCTCAGCTGCAAGACATATCCCTGAACACAAACACAAAGACCAGGAGCTGCTCCCTCCAAAGCCCGTGACCCAGAAAAAGGAAGGGACACTCCTCCATGAGATATTAGGATCCGATTCCTGTAAGAGTAAAGCCAAACCTAGAGGACAAGGAGACTGGAAAAACAGTTCCTCCAGCCAGTTCAGAGTGAGGCAGGCGCTTCCTGCCAAGCATCTCTCCCCCTTCCCACTGCTTTTCCTTTCAGCTTGGACAGAACAGTGTCCAGGTATTTCAGAAACCGGGCTCCAACTTATCAAGAAAAAAGCGAGTGTAGGTGCCTGCACAATACCTGCAACATACTTCAGCAGTGAGAGAGGCCACAAAACTTCTCCATAAGGAGAGGAGGAACTTACCAGAGGTGACATAGATCCATTGGGCAGATACGGATCTGAGAGCATCAGGAAAGGGTAACCAGAATAGGCAGATCCTTTATACATCCCTGGGTCCTGATGTTTCATACCTGCTGAAATCAATGTTCCCTGTAAGAATTTGTCTTATTACAGGTGGCTCCTCTGCCTGTCGGGGGTCCCCAAAGAGGTTACAGCACGTTGTTGGAATCTTTTTGTCCCATACTCCTCAGAGGAGGTGTTGGCGAGTGCCAGGGTCCCCCATGGGTGCGGACTCCCACAGTGAGGACACTGGGAAGCCTCGGTGCTGTCAGGAGTAGCTTTCCCGCTGTGGTGACCAGACTGGCATCCCTCCCTCCCAAAGGTGTCAGGGTGCTGGGCTGGGGAACCGGGGGGTCAAGCACTAGACGGGGAGCACCGGGGAAGGCCAGCGGGAACCGGGAGCGGGGAACACACAGAGACATGCAGAGGTTGCGGTGACTAACCATCATCCATGTGGTCCGGGAGCTTCTCCTGGTACACCCTCTGCGGATCCTGCGCTCTCCGGAGGGCCTGCACGGGGAGGAGAGANGGACACACAGACACACGGACAGACAGACACACACAGGGACACTCAGACACACGGACACACACACACACAGGGACACACGGACACACGGACAGACAGACACACACACACAGGGACACACAGACACACGGACAGACAGACACACACAGGGACACACGGACACACGGACAGACATACACACACAGGGACACACAGACACACGGACAGACAGACACACACACACAGGGACACACAGACACACGGACAGACAGACACACACACACACAGGGACACACAGACACACGGACACACGGACACACACACACAGGGACACACAGACACACGGACACACGGACAGACATACACACACAGGGACACACAGACACATGGACACACACACAGAGGGACACACAGACACGGACTGACACACACACACAGACACACACATGGACAGACACACACACAGGGACACATAGACACAGACACGGACAGACACACACATCCAGAGGGACACACAGACACACGGACACACGGACAGACTCACACACACACTTTGTGCAGCCCCGGGTGTGTGTGCACATCTGTGACACACACGGGTATGCACACGCATCTCTGCTCGCACCTTTGCACACACACCTGTGCCTACCTGTGTGCACACGTGGATGTGCCTGCTCACTCATCTGAGCCCCGTGCACATCTGTGCCCATCCACACTCCTGCACACACCTCTGTGCACACACACACCTTAGCACAAGCTCACCTGCACCCAGGCGTGCGTGCCCACAGCTGAGCACGCACCTGCACACCGCAGTGCTCACTCATGCCCAGAGCTGCACCTGCACATCTCACACCCATCCACACATCCGTGTGTGTGCACACATCCACGTGTGCACGGCCTGCTCACACACATCAACACGTCTCAGGGTGTGCACGGCCCCACACACGTCTCCACAGGTGTGTGTGTACAGCTGCACACACACACACCCCCCTGTGTGTACACACAGCGTGCACATCTGCACATCCGACACACGGCAGCACTCACACGGCAGCACACGGCAGTGGGATCCACACACAGCTCCAGACACACCAGCACAAAAGAACACATCATGTACGCATCAGCACGCACAGCTCCACATCTGGCGTGCACAGACATCTGCACGCACACATCTGCACACACAAACACGTCTCACATTCACCTGTGAATCGACAAGCACAGATAGCAGCACATGACTAAACATACAGGACAGGAGGCCATACGTGGAGCTGTGGACACACACTGGGCACGTGTGCCCACACTGAGACAGCAGGACATGTGTGTGCACACAGGCACACCTCAGCACGTGTGGCTGTGCACTGAAACTCCTCGTGGTGTGTGTACAAACACACCTGCAGCGTCAGGACACGCGCGTGTGCGCGGATGGACAGGCACCAACATCCTCACACACCCACTGAGACACGCCAGGGCTCGTGTGTCCGAGCACAGGCACACACAGCACACGTGTGTGCACACACCCACACAGCTGTCCAGCTGTCCAGCTGTCCATTCCCAGCTGTGGCTGCAGACACACCCGTGTCACCCGTGGGTGCCACCGCTGCGCTCCCTGGCACAGGTGACGCTCCAGCCACCGCACCCTCGGCCCCTTGGGAGCACAGACATGACGTGGGGTAGCAGAAAATTATTAGTTTTCCTGCCTGGCCCCGAGGGTCAGGAAACAAGAAATTACCATCTTCACAGCCCGTTTTGAAGGCACTAGACACTTGTGTGTCGGCGTCGGAGGGTTTTTTAAGCAGTTCCCATGGAAAAGGAAACTCCCCATCTCTTCTGATCACACACGACAGGTCCTGTGCATGTCTCCAGTAGCTTAAAACAACACACCGATATTTATTTTCCTTAATTAAGATTGCATAAGATAGCCCTGGGTCCTGGAGACTTTGCTACAGACTGTAATGACGCCATGTAAATTGTTTTTTATGACCCAATATACAACATATTGTCACATTCAGCCCTTGAATAGGAAGCTAAAAATCTTGGTCCCTATTTTTCTTGTTAATTAGGGTATTATTACTAGGGATATAATCTCATTACTTTTTGGGGAGGAGAAGAACTAGCTGGAGCCACTTTGAAAAGTACTTGAATATATTTAAATGCAGCAAAATCTGTCTTTCTGCTAATTGCTGATTTTGCATGACATAGAATTATTGTTCTGATTTTGGGGCACAGTTGATGCCAGGCTGAAGATGTGAGAGGGGAAGGATGCTGTTTGCTTTTCTCCTGCTCAGTTTTCTCCTCCAAATGAATGAGCTGCCCCATAGGAAACTCCGTCGGCAAATTTCCATTCTTTTAAACATCCCAAAAATAAAATAAGATGCAGCCACTTTGAGGAATAATCATTTGAATGAAATATTTGCTACTTTAAGATTTTTTTCCCCTTCTTTCAGATGATCCTCTTGTTTTGCATGTGAAAAAAATCGTCTGAGATTTACAGCCCTCCCAAATGGAGATAAAGCCTTGGCAATGAGTTGGAAACCTGTTGTAATCTGTGATCCAGGAAACAAAGAGCCTCATTAATGCAGAGACTTTGGTGAGCCTTTGATGTTAGCTAGCATAGCATTCACTCTCAGTTCCATTTGCATTTAAACATTCATAAAAACATCATCTCTGCTTCCTTTGCCTTAAGCAATTTAGGAGTAAAGTATAGCTTCTATTTAAAGAAACCCACTGTGGTGAGGCTTAGAATACAAATATCACATAATCTTCAAGCAGAGCAAATATTTTATCCTACATTTCTGGTGGGCACATTTAATAATATTATATGTAAGACCCAAAATAAAACATCCATCTTATTTTCATTAACCTTACACCACATATTCAAGTCAAAAGAGAAAACGGGCCCTGTTAATTTTAAATATACTACATACCAATTTGTGGAAGTAAGAGAATCCACAGGATTTTACATTATTGACAAGACCTGAATTTTTGAAAACTGCATGCCTACAGCAACGTGCCTAAATCTGTATTTAGGCACACAACACTGAAAATTGTTAACAAGGTCAGGTTTATATATATATATATATATGTTTTTTTTTCTGGACTGCAGAATCTTCATCCTGGTTTGAAAATGGAATAGAAAAAGATTTTTTTATTATTTTTTAATTTTTATTTTTAATATAATCAGAGGAGGAAAATACAAAAAAAAAAAAAAAAAAAAAAAAAAAAGGATAAATCTAACATGTGAAGATTTTCTTGATGAGAAGATGAGAAGGCCCTGTTGCTCCCAGATGGCATCCTGAGGGAATGGCAGTACATGGGGAATTTGGGGAATCACTTAGAAAGCAAAGGCCTGTCTATATTATTATCGTCATAAGTATTATTCCCCAACACACGTAGAAGAAGCGGAAAAGTACAAAAAATACTGAAGCTGGCTTGACTTGATATTTGGAAATATTCAGCTGGTGTTGTCCATGTTCCCTGTACCCTTAAAAATAACTGAGCAATGGAAATTGATCCCGTGTCACATGGGGAGTTCTTGATATTCCCCTTCTTACGAGTAAATACAAGGAAATCTTTAGGTTTGGTGCCGCGAGCCAGTACAGCCTGACTGGTGTTTGAAGCATTATAAGCAAGTTTCCTATATGATGAATATCCAAAATTAAAAACTGAAATGGAAAACACTTAAAACCAACTTTACCTTGGATAAAATATTTCTGGAGCTTGATCAAAGGAAAACAAAAAGCCTGGCTTACTTGTCAGATCATATCTGTACTGAACTTCAAGGTTTGATTTGTATTATTTACATGGAAAAGGTCCCAAGAAACCAATTTGGCACTAAATATCTTCATTACATTTTTTCACTTGTATGGGTGATTAAATCAATCTACAGTTCCTGTTTAAATTTTTTTTTGAAAGGTGCAGCCATCTGTGAATTGAGGAGCTTTTCTGATGTCATCTTTGTGCTTCAGACATACTTTCCCCCCTTCCTTTTAAATTTTTTTTTTTTTTAATAAAGAAACTTTTAAAGGACCATTTTTACTTTACTGTTAGAGTTTCTAGCTGGCCTTCCAGTAACTGTTTAGAATTAAGAGTGTATAGTAAGTTTTTAGAACATTTTAACTGTAACACCTGCATGTAACAGTAAACCAGATTAAAATATAACCAAGTCTGTCTGTGAGTCTGCCTGTGCCTCATCCTGCTTTTATCAACATGTTCCCTGAACGCTGTGTGTGAAACTCAGCACATGTATTTTGTACCATGCTATGCACAGCAGCACTGTGTGGTTTTACACGTTAAAGTGAAGCCTCTCCTTTAAAGTCAATGTAAATGTTGCCACTGACTTCTCTGAGTCTAGGGCTCCAACTTCTGTGCTTTAAAAGGGCCTTCCTTGGGTTTATTTAATTTAGGGTTTGGTTTTTTTTATATTATTTTTTATTTTTTCATTTTAATTGATCAGTTTGGAGTAGTCCCATTTTACTCTTTGGACACATTTTGTCCTCACACACAATGTGGGTAAGGGACACATCTACTCCTGGCAAGTTAAACATCCTACATCAGCTTTCCTATTTCATTGTATTTGCAGCAAACATGTTGCCCTGATATGCATATACAAATCCAAATACGCTTTAATTCAAACCCAGATTTATTTCAGCTTTTTTTTTTTTTTTTTGCCTCTTAATCATTCTCCACTAACAGAAGAGCCTTCTAAATATTTACCATTCTTTTGGAGAGCCACGTTTGGAGACAACCATCCCATAAGGATGGCTTGATTGATAGATTGGCAGTGCCAGCGTTTCAGATGAGACGGATGAAAACTTCTGTGTGGGATTCCAGCTGGGAGCAGGAGCTCCTGGAGGACAGGCTGGTACCAGCTGAACTAATCCTGGCAAGTAACCAACATAAATCAGGCCACTGAAAGCTCTGTTTTGCCCAAAGGGGTTTACATTGGTGCAATTACCTCAGCATAGTTATGGCAGGAACATTTCCTTAGTCTAGACAAGCTCTAATACGTAAAATAGATCTATC